CGGGGTGGGGGGGCGAGTGGCCCGGGGGACGTGGACACCTCGGACTTCCCGGAGCCTGGCGGGGCGGGGGGCTGCGGAGTGAACGCCCCTGCCCCTCTCCGCCTGCCACGCACCCCCCCAGCCCGCCCCAGCTTCCTTCCTGGATCCATTGTCTGTCCCGGTTACCTGGCTGGAGGCCCAGCAGTGGGGAGGAGCTAGCGGGAAGGAGGGGATTTCGGGACTCGGGGGAAGCGGGGCGGGATAGCGCTCTGGGGGCCGGAGACCCGGAGGGTGCCCCCCACCCAATCAGTGCTCAAAGGACCCAGGTGTCTGGGTCCCCAGCTTGGTGGGGGGGCAGGAAATGAAACCTGGTAGAACAGAAAGTGAAACTGCCCAGGTAGGGCCTCAGGAAGGAAGGAAGGGGCCCAAACACACCTGACACCTGGACGGGGAGGGCAGGAAAATAAAACTGGGGTGAGGCCTGAGGGGGGCGGGCTGGAAATGTGAGCACTGGACGAAGAATTTCACCCCGGGACAATCTGTGTCTCCCCCCTGCAGCTCCCCGCGCAGCAGGCTGAGATGGGGGTGAGGGCGTTGGGTGGGCAAAGCCCCATCTGTGGTGGCAGCTAAGAGAAGGGTCCAGGTGGGGAGCAGGTGCTTTGGCCTGCCCTCCTGGGGGGTCTTTCTCTAAACTTCAGTTTCCTTGCCTGTCAAATGGAGTCGGCCCAGTTCTCCCTGTTTCTCTAACCCCAAAGGATGCATTTCCAGGAGTCTGAGAAGATTCTGGAACGTAGATATTTTGGGATTCCAACAAGCTCACATTATAAAATTATACATTCTAGACCCCAACGTATCATCGTTACATGTTTTAGGATTTCAACAACCTAGATGGGCCGCGAATGTTTAATGTTCTGGGAGTCTGACCGACTAGGATGCTAATATTTGATTATCTTAGCATTAAAAGATTTCAACAACCCAGCATTCCACACTTCTAATATTTTCACATTCTAGGGTTCCAACAACCTAGGGATCTAATATTCCAACGTTTTGACGGTTTCATATTTCAACAGCCTGGGATTCTAATATCTGAACACTTCAACATCACACCTAGGATGATAGTCCAACAATTTATGACACTAGTATTCTAACATGTTTACGGTCCAGCTCTCCAATAACATAGAAGCCCGCTCTTCTAACTTTGAACATTCTAGGATTCAGGCATCAAGTTTTTCTGAGTTTTCTCTTGCTGAGACCCCCAGCCCCGACCCTAGGAACCCTGGTGTCCAAAACTAGGAGTGCATGGGGGCACTGTGATGGGGATAGAAACTAGGACCACCACCAGGTCCTCTGGGGTGCAGAAAGGGTGCCTGTCTGCCCCATCCACACACGTCTGGGGCCTGGGGAGGGCAGGGATTGGGCTCGCAGACCTCACTTGCCCCTGGCAGCTAGCGCAGGCACCCACACCCACACATGTCACCCGATCGCCATGGCCAGCCCGGGTTCAATTTCGACTGTTTCCACCCAATGGGAGGCCCAGGATGGGCCTGGACACGGAGGTACTCCCTCCACATCTGCTGCCCCCACCGGCCCCTTCCTCCCCACTCGGTACCTGGCCGGGCCCCTCCCTTCCTCCCTGCTGTCTGCAGAAAACAACATGCAGGGACATGCAGTTTGGGGAGGCCTCTGGGGCACCTCACCCCCGCCCAGACCTCAAAAGGGTGGTGGGGTAAGGAGGCAGTTGGGGGCCAATGCCGCCCCCACCTCCTAGCGGCCCGGGGCTCAGTCCCCTCCCTCCCTCGCCCCTATGCCAGGCCCCAGGCCACCTCTGCCAGCGCTGCCCCCTCTTCACGCCCCCCGCGCCTCCCCCAGGCCCGATGGGGGGAGCCCCGCTCCCTCACCTTCTGGTCCACGATGGAGCACGCCAGCTGCTTCACGTGGGCCAGCTCGGAGGCGGCGGGCAAGAGCACGAACTCGCGGGTCAGCCCGATCTGGATGTGGAAGGAGACCCCAGCGCCCGAGGCCGGGATCTGGGGCGGCGGCGGCGGC